AAAAAAAATTAATTAATTTTTAAGAATTCGGTTGCGATTGTTGAGGACTCTGTGAAGTCAAAACTTTTCCGTATATACCGTTGTAATTATTAATAATAAATTTATATATATTTCTAACAACTAGTATAGCTCAATTAGTTTTTGACCTGGGAGGTATATTAAGTTTAATTTGAAATTTATTTGAGCGGATATCAATTTAATTTAATATTTTTATAGTAATATTTTTCAATCATTTTTATGATTATAATAATTATAATTATTTTTGACTACCAACTACATTTATCGCTAGAAACATACATATAGTTATTCTTTTAAAATTTAAATAAAATTTTATTAGTTTTCTATAACCATGAAGCTTGATTTTATTTAAGATGCAATATATGTTTACAATTAATTCTAATTACAAAATATTTCGAAGCAATTTTATGTGTTCAAATAATTAATCAATATGTGCTCGTAAGTATATGTATGATTTTTTAGAAATTGTGCTGGCAAAATAGAAATCGTATATTCGTATACTTCTAAAATATCGGTAATGTAGTACTCTGGTTATTCTTCCAGAGTATAATCCTTACTTTGCTTAGATAAAAAATTTATTCAAATAAATGCGTGCTGATTGAGTTTCAATTCTATTTGATTCACATGTTAATCTCTAATCTTGATAAACAAAAATTAATAACAAACGCTACGCTCGTCTGATAAATTCAATTGAACATACGTATTATTGTTTGAGAACAGATTCAAAAAATATGCGACAAATATAGAGCAAGTAGCGACATCTAGCAGGAAGTAATTAAAACATATTAGTATTTTACATTTTAATTTCATAAGATATTATATTTGTTACAATAAATTTTTTAAAATTAGATATAAAAAATTAAAAAAAAGAGTGGCGATACCTTTAGATAGATATTATATAATGCTAAATTAATTTTAGCATATTCGGATATACATAGAGAGAATATACATATTTACACAGCTTACAGAATATGTAAGACCTAATTACTTGAAGATAAAGGCTTATTACATAAAATCAAATAAATATTTAAGTAACTTTGGTCGTGAAGTTTCGAAAGCAAATAAACTTGTAAACAAAAGTTTTCATTCGTAAGATTGTACATTAAAATATTTATAAATCATATATATTTTAATATTATAGCTAATGTATTAATATAAATTATTTACAGTATATAAGAAAAATATTACAAATGAAAACACAGAAAATAATTGATCATTAAACAGTTATTCATTTAAAATTACACTTCGAAAGTTAACAATTAAAGCGGATTTCTTTGCTCGACAAGTCCTTAGGATTTATAAGACATTCTATAAGGTAATAGAAAACAAAACAACGATGTATATATTGCGAGTTTATTAATTATTATTATTATACTTAATATTTATAACATATATATATATATATATTTATATATATGTATGTGTATGTGTGTACATATATGTATACATACACGTATGTCCGTCACGTATATACTTCCATGTACATACAGCACAACAAAAAAAAAAGATCGCGCACGCACGCACGCACGCACGCATCCACCCACCCACGCACGCACCGCTCTCTCGCAACTTACATAGAAACTCGTCGGACATACGTGTACATATACAAGACACCCTGTACGTTACGGTACAACCGCAATACGTTTAAATAAGATACATGCCAAGAATGTATATATATATATATATTTTTTTTTAGCTCAAACGAGACAAGCCGTTCTATTGATAAGAATCGATTCGTTACACATAGGCATCTGTATCTCCACCCTTTTATCCTCCTTTTTGCTTTTTCTCCTTAAATAATCCTCTTACTAAATATTTACTCTAAGATCTTTCTTTGTACCGTCTCCCGGCACGACGTCTCGGTTGTACCGTTTTCACAGAATATCCTGCAGTACGAATATGCATATATGTATACGCGTCATGCGACTGTATATTTACGTGTACGTGTGTATACGAGGTCGAATTAGCTCTTTCGAGGCGCCTTCGGCCCGTCATAATTTATATGAAAAGCGTTATAACACATGTATACTGCCATTGTGTACGGAACATCTATTTTGTCTACAATACGAATTCTATGAGAGATGTCGATCTAACATTGGCGGGTAACATTCCTTCGCGAGGAGATAATCGGATTAAAATTCGGCACAGAGAAGACGCGAGAGCGCAACGTGTACCTCCGGTATATATTGAGTGTCGGTTTCGCTCTGCGGAATTTCATCCGTGTTTCGCAGTAAATTAATCGCAGTTACGAAGATCGGGTCCGTCGCGTTTCTCTTTCAGTACTTATGTTTCTGGTAGTGTACTGTTACACACCACCGTATTCTATGCGATATTCCTAAAGCTTACGATACCTCAATTTCGTTTAATTCAATTTCAATTAACGCTGATATCAACGGATTAGTCGTAATGTCTAAAAGCAGGGTTTCGTTGGCGTTGTGAGAATTTTTGTCCATTTCGCGGAAAATCGACGAGGTCTTGTCAGTACGTATTCCTGCGCAAGAATAGGCTTAGAATGATCCTTTCGAGAGTTATAAAAATTGCAAATCCATGGTTTCATGTTTTTCCTTACGCCTAAGATTTCGCAGATTCCGTTATTTAAGGTCTCATTGAATGTCCAAAGATTTTCGGATAAAGATAAAACGTTTAAAATAGAAGCCGATATTTTATGTCACACAATGTCGCGCAAGTTTATACACACCTATGTATACGATTACTTTTTTTTTTTCAATTAAAAACAATACACAAACATATTCGAATCCAACAATTTGGCTGTTATAAAACGTAATAAGGTAAGTAAGCGAACATATAGAGTAACATGCTATTTTCTGTATGTACAGAACAACGTGCAAGTTCTTTTTCTCGAAGATTCAAGTTCAATAGAATTTACAATGGGCAAATAAAAGGTACATCGTTAAAATTTATACGCGTACTGAAAAATAATAGAATTTATGTTATGTACGCGAGCGTAGCTCCAAAAACAATCGATATAAATAAATTTCATCGTCATATATATATACATATATATATATATATATATTAGGAAAAATTATTATAAATATATAAGTTTAAATTTGGTGTGTACGTATCTATATATATCTCAAAAGAATTGACTTATACATATTTGGCTTGTCAGCATCTGGAAATATAATACAAAACAAAATCAATTTTGAGAGATAACACGCAAATCCACTAACAAAATTAAAATATAAAAGATTTATACATTTTTACAAGCGACTCTCATTTAACTAGATGATATATTCTAATATCAAAAAATTCCTTCTACTCTAACCCCAATTATACAAATACATTATTTTAACTAAAAATAAAAGATAACGTTTTCGTAGTTTGCTCTTTTCCGTTAAATTACCGATCGTTTAAATATTAGAAATAGCGTATATGTGGACAGATTTGAGGACTCTCTTCGGAATCAGCGAGAAAAAAGTATATTTCGCCTATATTAAAAAATTTCACATCATTCTGATAAAATACGATATTAATGCAGTACAACCAGAACTATAGGTACCAACGATGCTTATTTCTCAAACAATTTAAAATAGGCTGCCAATCTATCAGAAAGATCGGCAAGCGGTATAATGCCATTAGGCTGGAGAGAAAAAGAAATGAATTATATATACAGAGTTCCTACCCGGCGCCTTGTTCGTTAGACCAGCAGAGCCAATGTCAGAACGATCGATTATACCCTGCCTACTCGTTGCTATCGTGGGGAACACAAGAGGCGTCAGCCAAACCACTCCATCACGCACAGCCTTGTACGCGACACGGGGCTGGCAAAATATGCGTATTCAGGACAGCGCATATTTTAGGTCTGCTTGAGTTTTGCGAAGTCGATCTCGGCGTAGGTGAAATTCTCCTGCGTGGACGCCGGTGATACGGGTGCTGGATTATCGACCTCCGGCAGATCGAGACTAGCGTAATGTAGTATTGTCGCGCCCGGTTGAAGCTTCTCGTAACCCTCACTGTCCAACGGACTTGGCGTGGGCGTGGGTGTAGATGTGGGCGTAGGCGTGGGAGTCTCGTCGATGAACTTTGGCGAGGATGGCTTCGGCTGTTGCGCGGTCGACGGCTTGAAACCCGTCAGGGTAGGACTGGTGTTCGGCGAGGCCGTGACGAGACGCGGTTTCGACACCGTTATATCCGACAGTTTTTTCGTTATTACGTTAATGGGCTTACCGTGTTCTTGCGATGACGAAGACTTTAATATGACTCGAACATTCTTCTCTACAGGACTAGGTGGCTTCTCGCTATTCGCCTTCGACGAGGATATCATCTCCGTCAATGGGGTAGAACACGACGTGTAAACCTTCTTTGCGGGTTCCATCACCGCGTATTCATTGTTCTTATTTTGGTCAGAAAAATCTCCTTCTGTCGTGGAGAAATCATCGTTTTTCTTCGTGAAAGGTTTCACGGGTGACTGAGGACTATTCAGAGAAAAGGGAAAAATCGTGGCCGATGAACCTGTTGGCGTTGCTCGCGGCGGAGAGGCAGGCGTGCTCGCCAAACTCTCGGATGTCGGACTTCCGTTCAAAGGTAGAAAATTTGGAGTTTTAGATGGTTTGCTGCCCGCCTGAATCGCGATTGGTTGCGATCGCGATTTTTCTTTGCGATTGCCTGTTCGTGTTTTACGATTGTTTCGATTGTTCCCACCCATACTCATATTTATGTAGTCTTGTTCTAAACTCGGCCGTGCTTTAAAAGACATCTCGACGTAGCCCTCCGGGGGACGCCTCGGTTGAGGAAGATCTACGGGTGCAGTTCTTGTGCTACCTGAATATTCGTAATAATTTTCACAAATATTATTTTTATTAATTATATAAAGAATAATATTATAAGATCTCTTTGCAATAAATATTTACAAACTCTAATACCTGGTGGTCCATTTGTTTGATAGGTATCCTCTTGAATAGGCGATGACAATTGTTTCGGGCTCGCTTCCGAATGTGTCCAATCTATTTCTATCGTACCATCCATTTTCATATAAGGTCCCTCCGCTTCTTCTACCGGTTTTAAAGTTGTAATTACAGGTTTATGAGCGAAAGTTAGCGATGATATATGCATGTGGCTATGATTGTGGTTGGCAGTGATTGTATTATTATTGTTATTGCGATTGATCTGTAAGAAAAGAATTTTGTTGTTAATTAAGAACGGCTATGCAGTAATTTTATCAGCAAAAATATCGATAATACCTTATTTATGCCACTCATATCGACGTATGGGGCAGTGGTCGATATGGGAGCTTGTCCGGGCGACATGTCAACGTAGGAACTAGTGTCGGTGGCAGTAGAATAAGTAGAGTACAATTGCGGTTGCGACTGAGGTTGGGAACATGATAACGGAGGCGAAGAGAGAGCGGTTGGAATACTGGGCCTCGTGAAATCCAATTCCATGAGATCCTCCATGCGATCGGATGCTCCGGAACAACCAGAATTGTGTCCCCAAGAGCTCGATAGCAACGGCGCGGAACTTGACTTTGAATTCGAGGTTTCCGAACCAGCTGGTAACGGCGCAGTAATTACATTAGCTAGCCTTCCGATCTCGGGCCTCTTAGACCGACTACCTACGGAAAATGCTCGTACTCTGTTGGCGTCTTGCGGAGTGATGTCCAACCTGCATAAAGATTGATGTAGTAAAATAAAAGATGTCGTTCATATCGGTAGCATATTTAAACAATGTTTAAGACTCCTGAGTAGTCGTTGCAACCACATAGCCTTTAACGTGTCATTTCTCGCTTACGATGTCGATCCAATATGGCCATGATAAACTAAACTCAGGAGCCTTAAAATTCATTTAGTTGAAATATTCTCTTAAATCATGCAATCGTCATAGAATTTTGTAAAACTTTAATATTTTATCAAATAACAATACGTACAATAAACCTTAAATAATATTTTAATCTCATACCTGTTTTTGCGATGCCTATTGGCTTGTTCCGGCCTCGATCCAACGGAGTAAGCTCTGGTTGGTCTCGCTTGCAGATCTTCCCCGGGTGTTAAAAAGCTGGTTACCTTGTCTAAATGATACTCAGAAAATCGCAGATCTGTACTAGGCGTGCCTGATGTAACAGAACAGCTACTGCCATCGTTCTGCGACATATCGTCCGGAAAGTGACCGTTGTGAGTATTTACAGGATCCATATCGACGTAACCGTCATCTCCAACTGGTGCCATTGGTACGTAGCCATCCACGTTGCTTTCCTCTACAAGGGATGATCCACGGGAATGCGAATGGGCCGTTGTCGCCGGGCTCATGGGCATATATACGCCTCCACGGCCTGGACTCGACCCGCAGGGGCTGTACATTTCACTCTGGTAGGAACTCTGCAATTAAAATGATCAATTATCAGTGTTTATTCTGCAATTAAAATATAAAACAGTATTATATTTGAACTAAACATCATTTTATTTAAATAAATACTACAAAAGAAGAGGGGGATTTGTTAGATTTTATTAAATGTGAAAAGGTCATTTTAAACTATTTTACTGTATATAACAATAAAAATAAGATATTATAAATTTCGGTATTATTACTGTCTATAGACTAGAAAATTTATGCTACCCTTATACAGTTTTATAAAAACTCTTATTATATTAAAAGATTCAAAAGCGATATTACGAGTACACTCACCTGAGAGGGCGAATGAGATTTAAAGTTTGGCGAGTATTTCAAATGTGGATGCGACGTCGACCACAGGGCATAGTCGTCACCTTTCTTGTCTAAGATTACAGGCTCATCAGGTGTCAAGGAATGCCCGTACCTCGAGACAGTGCTTTCTTCCATAATATTCTCACCACAATCATCCATCGAGGGTGACGATCCAGCTGAATCCGACGAACAGACATCGGAAGATGGACTAATAGGCATCGACGCGATTGGTGGAGAATATGAGAGGCCTCGGCCACACATAGAATGCGGTCGTGGAACATGCGACATAATATGGGCTCCTCTAGGATGACTTAACACAACCGTAGTCGGTTGTCCCTCGCTGGTAGTGCGAGCTCTCGACGGCAAACTGTCGCATCGATCGCGCCCGGTAGCACCTGCAAAGATACTTGTCAAAATTCTCTTCGTAATGTTTACTTACATACGGTAGAAAGAAGCCAGTTCCATCGTCCCAGCATAGCAACAGCAGTTAGTTTTATATATGTTCGCGTATATAAATTATTATATATGTACACAATGTATTTTTTTATTGTTATATATATATATATGTATGTGTGTGTGTGTGTGTGTGTGTGTGTGTGTGTTTGTGTACATCTATATTTATTTTTCTTAAGTTAAGCAACAGTAATCACGGTCACTTCATCAAAAATATTCCGCGAATTTGCAGAATTCGGGTTAAAAATTAAATATAGCAAAGTAATAATTACGATAACCAGCTTGCAGAAATTATTAACCAAGTATCAACACTATGGAGCATCCAGGAGAAATGTACAAAACATATTCATTCCTTATGTTCAATAACAAATAAACAGAAGATACGAACTAAAGCATTTGTTTTCATAATACATCGTGCACTTAATATTAGCATGCTAGCAAAACTTTACAATTGTAATTACTATGATCTCTTATTAGATAACATAACATTGATTGACTTTATACAGTTTGGAAGGAATGAATGCGTAACAAAAAGAGCAGAACAAGCGTATTGCAGAAACACTGAAGGATAAAACAGAGATTCGGATCGATTAAACAAATATGTGTGACGAAACGAAATACATACACCGTAAAACGGATCTTTTAGATGGTTGCGTTTGATTGATAATAACGGCAGCTAAGGGCAGCGACAAGGTTCTCTGATGGGATATTGTCGCGGTTGTGGTTGTAGTGATCGTCGCGGTGACGGTCGCAGTAATGGTGGTGGTGATGGTAGTGGTGGTTGCAGTAATGGTAGTGGTAGTGACAGTAGTGGTAGTCATAGTTGCATTTGTTGCTGTTGTGACATTGTGAACGGATTGGGAATTATTGACGGAATGAGGATGACTCGCTACCGAATGACGACGTCTAGCGGTACCGGCACTGTTGGCATTAGTCGTGGCAATCCCAGTAGTCCAAGCCCCGGTACCAGCAACTGCTGCAAACCACACACCTCTCACTATCGCACAACTGTCTTTTGTCTTACGTGCATCTTATGCCGGATATGACAGATACGGCACGGATAGTGTACCAATCGTGCTGTTAAAGACATGACCGCAGAGAATCTATCTCTTATGTTTCGCGATGAGTTATTGACACACAAAACCTATTTTAATAATCGTTTTCGACTAGCAACTGTTTTCTTCAGTTTGATTTCCCTTATGACGATAACTTTTACGTGAAAAGAGAATGATGGTAAAACACATGTACAAATAACATTAAAATGACAATAAAGCGTACAAATTCAGTTTCCTGTCTTCCGTCATCATTTTAGCAAGATGCATTATATATATATATATATATACACACACACACATATACATATATATAATATATATATATAATACCTGACATCAGACAATTTACGGATTCCAGATAACTTGTTGATTGTACCAATCATGCTATTTACACTATGAAACTAACACTCAGAAAATGATGCATTACTGATCGACCCAAACTTTCCTTATTAACACAATTGATCATTGCATTTGTACAAAAGTTTCAATTTTAGCTTTTCATTGTTTTACGTGTTCAAAAATTAATATCAATATAATAAGTTCTGTCGTTACTTTTAACATTAAGAAAATATTTCCAACTTTATTAAGTACTTATCAATCTTTTCCAAAGGATAATATATTACAAATAAATAAGTTATATGTATGATATAACGAATGATATTTATGGATGAAATTAGAATGTATATCAGTACAATTCTTTTTAAACTTATTTTTTCCAACAAAATTAAAAATAAAAGTCATATCAATTGCGTATATGTAAATAGTACATGTTGCACATATAACCAAATCTATCAAATAAAATAAAAGAAAAATGCAATGATCAAATTTTTAGATAAAGTCCTATACCCCATGAAATGAAAAACTGAAGAAAAATAAACGACATGTTCATATGTGTCCTTTTTGCCATTCAAAATCCATAAAAACGCGAAAGAAGGAAAGCAAATAGCTATTGTGACAGAGAACAGACCCGTGACTGTATTGGTGGAGGAGGTATTCCGAGATTGACTACACTGTGTGAGAACAGAGGAAGTAGCAGTCTGCTCTTGCAGTGGTTCCACTTGCTCCTTGTATATCTTCTGTTCCTCTGCAAACCCCGTAAACCCATTTGTGTTATTCTAAAGCTGAGCTCTAATGTGTACAGATACGACGATTCACCTAGTTTTCTTAAAGTATACAATTTAATGTGCGTGTGCAATTGGCGATAATTATGTGTAAAGGAACGGTGTACTAGACGAAGTTTCAAATCCGGATTTAAAAGGAATTTGTAAAAAGGATGATTTTAAATACACAAATGACGTATACCGAAGCAAACCGAGACGCAGTATCTCTGTCGACTTCTGATTATAGACACGTGATAACCGATATGTCCCAAATTACATATGCGAAAATCACATTTCGATAAGTAGTACGAAACACGCTGAAAAAACTGATAACTCACATCCTGGTGTAAATCACAACGGATAAACGATATGTACAAGGAGCAGATTTACGAAAATCGCAGCTTACCCAAGGGTGAAAAGCCATGAAGCTTTTGACCCGTATGCCGTCTTTGGAGAACGGATATAGGTTTGCTGGCTTCGTTGGCGGAGGAACTACGTGTTCTCTGGCGAGGCCCAACTTCGTCTTTGTTACTTTTCGAATTCCTCATCGCAGTCGTTATTACATCGTACATGTTGAGCGCGATATTGTTATCTTCGACAGCCATCCAAAATTCACCATCTCCGGTTACGGCGGATCGGCCAACTTCTATGTAGAATATATCATTCGCAAATCCACATCGTCTAATATAATTTAGCTGCAAGAAGGGACAAGAAAATTTAGAGATTGTATTGATTTTAATATATTAAATGTCAAGTTTTGTTGACCTTTAACTAATAATAATGAAATTCTAGGATATATATTTTTTAATAACAATGCGCATTATTAAGGCGCTTAATTTGCGACGATTCACGGTAAGCCTTCCAAACATATCAAGGCGTTGAGATATCACCGTGTGCAATTGCTTTCGCGTGTGGCGTCGCTTAGTCTAAACAAAATCTTTCATTCACTTTATTATTCACGGTGAAAACTGATCCGTCTAAATACATCTCGGACCACCGTGAATATGAAAGCATACACTAGACTACGGCGTTCTTTTGTCAGCAAAGCTCGTATAAAAAAAAATACAAAATAATAGCTATAAGCACTAATCTATTAGTATGTTATAGACTACAACATACTACACTACATTAATTTTTTTTATTTCAAACTAACTATATGTAAACTTACAGAAATCTCGATAGAATCAGAGTTATCCTGTGCTCCAATCTTCACTAAACTTAAAGTTTGATCGGTGAGGCATAATCTGTAGGGTCCGTGGATGTTCTTTCGTGCCCCTAGACCTCTTTTTTGCATTGTAACTTGCCACACGTGTTCTGAAAGATATATTAAAAAACGTAAAATACAAATCTCATATTTGAAATACAGAAATAATTTATAAATAAAAAAGCAACAGATATTTTAAATTTTTTGTGTAAGTCAATTACATTAAATGTATATATAATATACAAAATTCAAATAAATACACATAAAAAACTTAAAATATCTGTTGCAGTTCATTTAATGCAAAATATCATAACAATAAGCATCTATTTATAAAACGCAAACAATCATCAGTTTATTATCATGTATGTTTGCAGCATTGAATATATTTATAGCTGAAATGCATCATAGTAAATAATGTCCAAAAGTACATATAAAATAATAATATAAATACTGACTTTTGTGTAAAATAATTTAATACATATATGGAGAAAAAGATTTCTTTGGATTTAATATTCCTATTTGACTAAAATCTATTTTTATTAAAACAACATATGTTTGTACGAAACATTATTCGTTTGAATGAAACTATTGTTTTATTTGAGAAATATCTAATGTTTGACAGAAATAACATTATTATTCGAAGTAATATCTTTCAATCAAATAATATATTATTTGGTTACAATGAATACGAAGAATAAAACAAATTATTTATTTGAAGATGGCAAAATACAATATATTGATAGAGATTGTTCTATGCAAATAGTTACTTTCTTAGAACAACATTATATTTTTTGGCCGAAATTACGGAAACAACGTTTATACATCTAACAAGATTAAACAAACAGTGCTATGTGTTATATCAATTTGTGCCGAACAGTTGATCGTGCGAATGCCGAAGATAGACATTGTCTGTTCACATAAACAAGATATTTAAAAAAAAGATATAAGAGAATACGTACTAATCGCCTAAATCGTACCTCATTAATATTTTATATTAACACTTAATATAGATAATATTTAGTAACAATAATATAAAATACATGAGAAATGAGTAATATAGACAAAATATAATAGTTTCTGCCTTGTTTTGGATGTTATAGTGGCGTATTAATATCAGATACATCTGATATTAATTTTTAATCAACTTTTATGTAGCTGATGACAATGTGATCATCCAATTATTTACTATAAATTTCCTATATTTTACTATAAGTTTCCTAAATCGTACGATTACCATTAAAAAATAAGACTAATAATCGACAATAATTACACTAATAATTGATATGAGTACAAAGTGTAAAAATATATTTGAGCTAATTTTATTTTAATGTCATTTGCCTTTTCATTATAATTACATTTAACAATTATAAAATATCTAATTATTTTTTAATAAATAATTAAAATTATGCATTTGTTTTTTTTAATTACAATAATTTTACACTTTTAATTATTTACACAACCATCAATTCAATACTTTTAAAGGAAATACGATTTCAAAGACATATGGTATAGAGAGACACTGTTTTGTACGCAAATGAACAATAGAAATTGTAGTTTCAAGTTAATTAATTTCGGACGCTTATTATTACATGTTTAACTTTTCATTAATAATAAATTTAATTTGTTATTGGTGAAAATATGTAATAATAAACATCCAAAATTAATTAACTTTAAACTACAATTTCTATCGTTCATTTGTGTACAAAACAGTACCAAAAATAAAAATTATAATAAAAAAAATAGGTGGTACACATTCGGCAATTCTTCACTATATTGTTTCAAATTTAAACAATTGTACTTATTGATTCAAACATTCGAACCATTCCAAATAACAAATTTATTCGAATAAAATAAAATTTATTAAATTCAAAGAAATCTTTATCTCTATGTATTCATAGACATCAAAAGAATTGTGTTAATAATCAAGTTAAAAAGCGAATATTTTTTTTATATTAAAACGGAGATTCTATGCAAAAACCAAAAAAGGAATAATATGCAATTTAAAACAAAGACGTTTTGTATTTATCCCATATTACTCTTGTTTTCTTTGTTTCTGTAAGAAACACAGAAACACAAACAATTGCCAACGTTATTTTTATTCCAAGGCTACATAACTCGTTCGAAATGTGGAAGTCACAAAACAGACAGCAGCGATATATTTTTTTATCGTGTATCTCTGTCTCTTTAATTTTGCACAAATTTCTTAGGAATATGTACAAAATTATAACATTCGATATGGACAAACAAACGACCTTTTTTTTAAAATTACGAGAAAACTCGTGTTTTTGTGTTAAAAAAAAAAAAAAATAACAGAAGTAAATAAAATATAAAATTCTCAGAGAAGCAGTGCATTCCGAAAATCATCGATTCATTCTATCGTAGATGTAAACAAATATGTAAGTACACGCACGACCAAGTTCTGTTACAGATCTGTTCTACGCCAGTCGACACAGGCACGATAATCTCATCATGAAAAAAAAAAAAAAAATCGATTACCATCGTCAGAAAACAAGAAGATTCATATCCAAGTAACAGAAATATGTAATCAAGGTAAATTGCTATCTAAAGAACGCAAATGTCTCATTAATTAGACAAACAAACAAGCGGGAATTTAAACGTCCATATATCGACATCCATTTATATGGACAATGGCTGATTTTTGATAGCGCGATACCATGGGGGGGGGGGGGGGGGGGGGGGGGGGTGGAGGAGGGGATGGATGGACGATAGACTATCTCGATGACGAGGAGGATGAGGTCAGGAGAGAGTATCAGATCATCGAGAACGTTACACCGATCGGAGCAATAATAAAGGTCGGTCGGCTCGTCGTCGGTTCTCTCCTCCTGACGTTTCGGACGGGAATTCGAAAAAGCGGCGCAATTTACCGAATGTAGGCCGCGGCTGTTCCCCGTCGGGCACGTCCCCGCTCTGTAGCCTCAGCATCGCCTTGAGCCACTCGTCCAGCTCCTTCTCGCTGTCGAGGATCAGGCAGAAGCACTCGTCCTTGGTGTAGAGCGCGATCACGTGCTTGTACTTGGTGTCGCCGCGCTTGTTGATGTTGAAGCAGCTGTGCAGCAGTATTCTGCGCTTCGGCAGCTGCCTGTTCTCGAATTTCTTCTTGCTGTCGTAATACTCGAGGCAGGCGTAGCAGCCAGGTCCCTCGCCGCGCAGCACGAAGTACTTCTTCTTCATCGTCTTGAGCTTCTTCAGGTGGCCGCAGCGGATCACGGGCCCGCCCGAGGGCGACGCCGGGCCCCTGCCCGAGGACATCGTCGGGATGACGATCGAGAAGATCGTCGTCGTCGTCGTCGTTGTCGCACGATTACGAACGAATCCCACGAGGACGAGAGTTTGGGCCCTTCGCGTTCTCCGTATCATTCACATGGTATCCCGGCTATTATCGTCCCCGCTCGCGCTTCCCGCTGCCTACCGTATCCTTTCTCCTCGAGCATGCGAGTCGACGTGCGCGTTTCGCGGAACGCACCGAGAGCACGTCGTCACACGTGCGCCTCGTCCTCAGCGAAAGACCGCGTGACGCACAACGGCGCAGAAGTTCATTGTGGCGGAGAAAAGGATTCCGACACACTATCCTCTTCTCTCTCTCTTTCCTTTTTGTATTCTTCTTTTTCCGATCTCTTCGTTAATCGTATCGTTTTCGAGTTTTACTTACGCTTCCTTCGCGTCGATCACTCCACACACAGCACTCGTTTCTCTTCGACGTTTAAATTGTTTTAGTTTCAGCGTATTATTTTTGTTTACCGCCGGAACGTTCTTACGAGAGTGAGGGCATACGCCTAGACCGATAATGAAAGCTTCAATCGATCAGATCGATCAATCAATCTCTTAATAAATAATAGATATATCTCCAGTCTCTCTCCTCCTCCCGATTAACGTCATTTAACGTCGCCGCTCGATCGCCTTGGTGGAGCGCGATCCGCGCACTTTCGCGGGCATAACAACAACGCGGCCGTCAACGTGTCAGCGAACTGCGCCTTTCAGCGCGCCACGATATGCTTGCCCTCCGAATGCGGGGAAACGTCCTCGTCGTCGACGGGCTCTTATCGCGCGCTCAGATCCGTCGCACATTGACAGTCACGGCGGAAACGATATCGCGAGCGAAGCGAGCGCGCCTCTCGTATAACGGCGCGGGAGCACGTTTTCGAGACGTAAATATAACACGGCGATGCGCGCGAGCAACCGCACCGCGTCAGCCAGGTTGCATATGCACAGCGTTCCCCTCGACGAGATCCGAGGGTGTGCTGCTTGCTGCTGCTGCTGCGTCGCGTCGAGTCCCTCTCTTTTCCTCTCACGGCGGCAGTCGCGGCGGACGTCCACCTACTTCTCGTAGGTTAGGAGGAACGACAACAATAACAATGGCGAGCCATGGCCAGCCACGAGACGCACAATCACGGACGATGACAGACCGCGGGGACCGATGAACGCGTTCGCGATCTCACGCTCGCCCACCCCCTCGCCTTTTTTTTCACTCGCTCCCTCGCGTTCAACACGGCGGAACCAAGTAGGGGAAGATTCCGCGCGATCGCACCCGCCGACTCCGAGATGTTGTGTGCGACGGCACTCTCGCTTCGCTCCCCGTCTCTCCTCACTCCTTCTTCTCCTCTTCTTCCTTTCTTACTGCCGTTCTCTCTCTCTCTCTCTCTCTCTGCGTCTCGGCACGCCTCGAATCCACCTGTCACGCGGTTCCGTCTAATTTCGCCCGCCACCGATCTCAGACCCGCGTCTCTCGGGCGCGCGCCGAGGCTTCGAACGTGGCTCTAGACTAAGTGCCACCGCCGCTCGCGCATTCCACGCGCGAGCAAGTAATTCGCGCGCGCTCGCGATCAAGGGGAAGGAGACGTGCGGTGCGTGTGGACCGCGGGGACAGAGACGTCGGCCGGAGCTACGCGACCGATGCGAGCCGTCGCGTCGTCAGCCTGCGTCAACGCCACGAGGTGCGGCCGTTTGTGCGAGCGAGCCCTCCTCCTGCACCTGTTTGTCTCTCCGAATAACACAATTTACTGCGTGGTCCACGACGGTGACGTGTATACACACGATTGCGCGCGCGCGCGCGCGTGCTCTCTCTCTCTCTCATACGCGTCGCGAATAAACACCGACCCTCACGCGCGCACCCCTTCACACGCACGCGCGGAGGAACAGAGACGGGAGAAAGAGAGAAAGGAGGAGGAGGGGGGGAACCGGACGGACGGACGGTTAGCCAGACAGACGGAGAGCGCGCGACGCAATACGATTCACGACGCAGGGAGGGCGAGAGAGAGAGAAAGAGGAGGGGGAGGGCGCAACGTGGCGACAGGCAGAAGGGACCCTCACGACAAGACGGACTCGCTCTCTCTCTCTCTCTTTCTTTCTTTCTATAGTCGCGAGTGAATGCCGCGCGTCCCGTCCGGAGTCTCGCTCCTTCGTGGAAAACGTGTTACGGCCGTGGCGAGGAAACACGACGACCGAGCGCGCGACGTATGTCTCTCTCTCTGTACAGACACGACGGACGGACGAGAGAGCAGCGGGTGAGAGACGGTGAGGTGTCTCGCGCAGGTGGGCGGCTGTCCGAAATTCGCCCCTACGCGCGGCGGCACGGCACGGCCCCCGCGACGGTCGCGCGCGCTCCTCTCGCGAAATAGGCTACTGCCAAGGGCAACGCGAATTTTTTTTCATGCGCAATAGCGACGCGGCCGACATCAAAACAACCGTGGCAGCGGCGGCATTCCAGGTCGATGCGGGGCGAGGGGCGCGCGCGCGGGCAGAAACGCGGCGGTTTCTTTCCCCCCCCCCCACCGTCCGTCGCGACTGACTACCTCTTCCACGCTCCTCGCGGCTTCGTCTCTCCGCAGCTGCTCCACTCTCGCGTGTGGCTCCTCTTCCGCGCCTCTCGCGTCCGCCGTCTCTCTTTCTCCGCTCCGCGTGAACGTTTAAACGCGGGGAGGAGGGAAACACAGCCGGGACAACCCCGATTAACGACGCACTATTGCCGCGCACGAAAATACACGCGCGGGGGATATCACGTCTCTCTCTCTCTCTCTCTACCCTCGTGGGGTCGCGATCCGACGACGGAGACGAGACTCCTTCGCCGAGCGACGTCTTCCTCGAGCACCTCAATCGGCCGCGTGCACGCGCGGTAAACCCCTCGTGTCCCGCAGTACTTACCAGAGCACTCGGGACGTACGCGCGCGCGCGCGGGACAAACAACAATCGCCGTGTGTCGTCACTCGCGCGACCGAGTGATCGAGATCGCGCGCGCGAGCGACTGGATATCGACGTCGCACTGTTTTCGTCGTTTCAATTGTCCGATCGTCGCGACGCGCGCGAAACGTTGAGCGCACAATGCGACGTGAACCGCGACGACGACTCTCGGTTCTCTCTGAACGCGCGTTAAAATTCGTGTGCGAGTCTCCGCGATCGCCGGGTACGTGGCCGCCGGATGTTCCAGCAAAAGGCGATGGGACACTCTCGTCACGACACACAACACGCACTCGCGCGCGCGCGCGCGCGCGCTCTCCGACACCTCTCTTTCTTCCTTTCTTTCTCTCTTCTTCTCGTAGGCCGCGCGCGGGTTCACGCCTAGCCAACCGAACAGACGATCGTGTCTATCTTGTAAAGGTCATGTGTACGCCGAGCTCCGCAGTTGTAAACAAGATGTACGCAGGCGCCGAGCGCGCGCGCGCCCGCGCGAATGGCGGCGGCGGCGGCTCCGATATACGCGCTACGCGATTGTAAATACGAGCCGAAACGCGAGCGCGCGCGCGCGCGTACGTCCGCTCGCGCATCGTGTATGCACGTGCGGTGCGTCGTGTTTATTACGTACACACGAGCGCGGCGGCGGCGCGGCGCAGTGGCGTAACTATCGTGTCAACGGACCGGACGGACGCCGCAATGCGGAAGAACCTTGCGGGGATCCGATCTCCGGGAATTAACGCGCGTCGCGGTTCAGCGGCGTGAACCCCTTCGCGCGCCGAGGATGGTCTACGTCCCGCCGAAAGGCGATCAGGATCGACCGGGAGCGAGAATCGATACCCGGGTCGCCGCGAAGGCCGAAACTCGGCGCGCGCGAATTACGATGTCTCGTAATTCCGGAGCAACGCGGTCCAATTCCTTCGAAAGATGATGTGTGTCAATCGTCTGTTCCAGAACTTCCAATACTCTTAATTTTCTTTCGTTCAACGATAGTTCGATATCGTTACATCGCGTTGTCGCAGTTTTTTTTTTTCTTTTAATAATCGTGTTTAATATAACGATAACGATATCGAAACTCAAGATCCGCGGGTACTGGATTGTGCCAAGAATACGTTTACATGATATTTTTACGTGTTTTTTTTACGTTAAGTTTACACGAATCTTTTTCATATAAACAATCCAAACGATGCAAGATACGGAATTATTTAAATCGGATAATACGATATAGAAAAATTATATCAAGTTTTATATACGATTATATAAATGTGTATCTAATTTTAGTTACACTACACTGAGAGAAAAAATGTACGTTTTAATAAATATACTTGTTTGAATAGATACTAACTTGACATAATACTTACAGTAAACAAATATTTACTAAATAAACAATGATAGTTAATTAGTGACTCTTGTACCAAATAAATATTTGTATATATTTTATAAGTATTCAACTCGTACTATTTAAATATTTATTAAAACTTGGTACATTTTTCTCTCAATCGTCTCAGTGTACTGTATAAAAAATTAAACTCAATGATTATTGATGAAATTTCAATACAATAATCAGGAACATACAGTTACTTCGATGATCCATAGATTACTTATATAGATGATATAAAATATAGTTTACATTGTTAACACGCATATACATCGATGTATTATATACTATATTTTTATGTATAAACGTATGAAACCCTGATGACCCGCAGTCTGTTTCTTCCAACTAAACTCTTTAAACGATTCATTTTTTTTTTCACATTACGAATAAGAGAAAAAAAGCAAGCAAGAAGTTTAGCAGAAAATAACACATTTTTGATTACCGCGATTACGTGCTTACATATCTATTTGGTTCTTTCTCGGGAAACTTGTGCTGTTTAACTCAACTTTTTGCACAATTCGTTTCTTTATCTTCAACGTAAAGAAAAAAGGCGGAAAGAGATGAGCCGTGTGAGAAGTTTAACTTAAAAAAAAAAAAAAAAAAAACCTGTATAAATTATCGCGATTACGCGTTCATACTCATACTTGTCTCCTAATTTCCTGTCAAAGAATCTATGCTTTTTAGTTCAACTTCTTACATGGTTGATATTTTTTTCTTTTTTTTTTTCCGTCGATTTAGAGAAAAAAAGGATGAATTGTGCAAAAAATTGAACCCAAAGATATACATACACATCTAAAAGAACATCATAAAGATATCACATCGTTTTTTTGGAACATATCTAAAAATTATCTAGAAGATATATGAAGACATCTTGATATTGCGCATAGTATTACAGTATGTTACGCATATTATTCTCTAGTACTTTCGCACATACAATATTTTTTAGAATAAGATGCCACAGATTTTAAGTATTAGGCGCACACTCGATCTGTGATGGCGCTGAAATGCGCTCGTAGATATGCTACGAAATCGAATAAGCTCAATTCAATGTTCCACATACGGGGGGAACGCTGGTTGTAACTATTTTTTCATGCTTCCCTAAAATGGAACGATCGCTTAAATTTGCGACGAATTTGTAAATCATATATTTGTAGTATAAAAACTAATACGATGTATTTTTATATATTGAGTCACATATATCTGAAAAATTCAACTTGACGTGTAAAAATTTCGCGAAAGATAATTTTCATAAACACTGATACAAAAGAATCGAGTTATATACTTTAATGTTTAATATGATGTTCAGCAAAATCTGACTAGTCAAAGGTTCCAAGATATTTCAGATAAAAATCCTAGTTTTCGAAGATCCATCGATTAATATTTTCATTATTTAATTTCAATTTGTGCAATACTCGTATTATATGCTTTGTATTCAAATTAAGATTCTATATACCAATGAATTAAAACACTAACTAATTTAGACGAATATTATTTATTGTTTTATAAATAATATCGAACGTTCCGTCAGCACACAAACGATTTTTTTACTATTTTCTATTTTTTAGATATTACATTCAAGTTTTTTATTGGTAACTTATTGTATCTTCAAAAAAAGCTTTCTTATACCCATATACACAATTTTCTTTTTATTTTTTTCGTGCTGATTTTCTTGGAATAAAAGAACGATGAATTCCAGGCCAGCCCTGAAATTTCAGGATTTCTAGAATACATAAAAATTCCAGTATAATTCCAGAATCCATGAATATTCAAGGTCGCTGAACATCATGTTTAATCTAATGCGAATGAATAATGTCCGATAATCCATCTCATAAAGATTATCGTTATAAACTTTTTAAATGATACATTGCAATAGTTACAATGGTAAAATTCTTTCTTCGGTAGAATAAGAATTTTATTTGGTCATTTTTCTAATCTAACTTTTTCAATTCATCTAATTTCTAAATTTTTCCAATTTTTAAAACTTGCCAGAATAGATCAATTATTAATCTAAATTTTTATGTGAACACTATATGTAGACAAGGTGGATATTTAATGTATTACAAGATATTACCTCTAAAATTATATATTAATTCAAAAATATGTTCAGCAAAGTTGTATGATAAGAGAAACTATTATAAAATGAATTTTTTTAAAATCGATTTTTGATATCATATGGAGATCGCTATTGATTGATGTTAATTATATAGAGTAACAGTATAGTTATATATCTCAAAAACATTTTTTTTTTTTAGATGTATATAAAATTGTATTACATATACAATAAATCGCAGACAGCTTTATAGAAACATTTGGCCAAGTATTCTACAATATTTTTCTAAAAAAAAAATTTATATATAGAGAATATACACACATAGAAATAATACATCCTATTTACCTTCTTAGCCAATAGATAATTAAAATTAATGATATATAAGTAATAGTCCAATACTACGTCTTATCTTAAAAAAAAAATACAATAATTGTAATACTGAATATAAGTAAATAAAATATAATAATATGAATAATATTAAGAATCATTTTATATATTATAAAAAAACATATTATATTCAATGAACGTAAACATTACATTCTACTTAAAAATAGATGTTTTCTTATATCACAACGCGTTGAACTATACACACAGGGACATAAATGCTTAGTCATCCAAAGTTACATATGTATCAGAGAAGACATAAAAATGATAATCATAAAAATAGTCATGCATTTGTGTTCTCGTACGTATAAAAACATCAATTTTCAAAACTGTATTAAAACATAATATTTAAATAGCAAATATTTTTATTATTACTATTATATCACATTTATTATATATCGTAATGTCATATTTTATTGCCTGAAAATAAACAAATATAAAAATACTGAAAATATAATATTAAAGTAAATTAATTACTCTCGAGAGTAGACACAGGCTATATTTTTGACAATTTTTATTTTAATATTATTCGTTCATAATTTTGTAAGATTTTGATAAGACAATACAAAAATAAGAAATCTTTTAAATTCGTCTTAATCCTACGTATATTATAAGACTTTAAGTAATACAACATTTGTATTTTAAAGAGAGCCTTGACCAAAAATATCAGATATCTATATTTTTTTTCATAAATTTGAAATTTTTTAATCTATTGCTTCCTAATATTTCTACTAATATTGTACATAAGAATTTTGAAATAACGGACAATTCATAACAAATGATGAAAGTCAATTTTTGAACACTATAATGTTAAATAATAATTAATAAGTTTAATATTTTTGACCAAAGCTGTATATAAAGCATAATTACTTTGTCGTAAGTCTTTGCACCAAGAGAGGTCTTAATTACGTATGTGTATATGCCGCAGCCTTTTCGGGAAACAATTAGTCATTTTCCGAAAAAGACTGATTTCGCAAAAAGCTGCGACATATATTATACATACAGTTAACAAGTTGAAATTATATTTGAGAGATTAACAAACTTGCGTTGATATTTACCTGAATGCTATAACTTGCTTTCTAGATTAATATAAACTCAAGTATAACAAATGTAACTGTATAACAAAATAATCAAGAGATACTTTCCAAGTGCTTTGTTTATCACATAATATACTTGATAGTATTCTCTCGTCTTTCTCAATATAAATCTATTTCAACTGTAATACTTTGGTTATCAATGGCGATAGCTTCTGTAGGAACACAATTATTTCAGTTCTTTCAAAATACTCTTTTAAATGATATATCGTTATTTTGTAGCGTTTGTACTTTATTTAAAGAGAAAAAAAAATAATGATGAAATTATAAATAGAACAAGATATCTGAAAGAGATTGGTGTGGCTCAGCTAAAAGATTTTGTCCCACCAGGTATGCAAGTTTATGTGCGTATTGACATGGAGCTGGTACACGAATTGTACCGGGCCAATTATAGTACAAATGACAAAGTTTATATGTCAATCGTTGCATGTGATCTGTTTCCAGATTAGATGAATCGTGAATGACGATGTAATGTGTAGGTGTTACTGTGCCCTGACGTACACTTTGCGGCACAAGGAAAAAATCATAATAGTTTCGCCTTGTTACGCACGAATCAACAATAGTACCTGCTGCGGGATTGTCTAAACCTCCCCTCTGTAAATAAACATTGTCAATTAAAAACTTATCATTAAAGCAACATATTCACGATTGTATTACATAAATTTTAGCGATACTCACTCCTCTGATGAATATCCGCATGTTGATGCGTTTTTGAACTATAACTACACTAAGTTGCGGTTTATAATTCGGCGCTATGCGATTAAATGTCGCCAAAAGTTGTTTTACCTCGTAATTTTCTATATAATCTAAATCGCCGTCACCAACTCCATCACGATATATAATTATGCGCTCTGGATTACATCCGTTATACTAACAACATAACATATTCTTCATTTTGATGAAACATTGAAAAGAGGTTTAAAAGATGAATAACGCATTAATTACCTTGTAAAAAGCATTAATAGCAGAAGTAAGACACACTTGTAGCATATCAACTAATTCTTGCCTAGAGGCCTGCATACAAATTCTACTGTGCCATTTAGTCAATTGATTATCTAAACTAGCAATAAATCCTGCAACACTTTTTCGACCTCCTCCACCAACACCAACGTGATAAACGTCTATACCACATACCATACAGTTTTTCTACGAAATAAAATTAATTAAATAAATTAAGTCAAATATATAAATAAAAATATATGATAAAATATATATTTTCTACAGTATCTACTAGTGGCATAGTGACAGTCCATAATGCTCCTCCTAGTTTGCAATTGATTTGAAGTGCTATCTTTTCTGTGATACTTCTTAATTTAGGAGGCCTAGAAATTGTTTTCGAAATAATGACTTGCGATGGTACAGCTTTTTGTACACAGCATAGTCTGAAACGTGTAACAGAACAATAAAACATAATTTTCCAGACTTTATCTTCAATTATTGTTACATAAACGAATAAATTTCCAAAATGTATGTTTTCATAAGTCCAAGAATCAAAGTATACTAAATTCTTACATACTTGTGTAATATATTCAATATATTATATTACAATACAGTATATTAACATATACAGGAAGGCAAATATATTATTAAAAAAAACTTACTTTTTTATTGCCGAGTAGCGATCAGTGCGATTGGTTGGAAATATAATAACGAATAACTGAATGTCAGCACTAATATTATTTTGAATTTCTCGCAAATAATTCTCTGTTCTGTCATCTTTTAAAATAACGTGTACTGGATCATTAACTCGCATATTGACCGCTTGACCAACCGTTATTAGAACGTTTAAGAAGTCTTTTACACAAGTTCTATCCCTTATACAGTACATAAGATTCCACTTGATCAAATTACACTAAAACACAAAAACAGTGTGAAATAACGAAATAATTTTATACAAGATCATTTTTATTGTGTATATAATTAGTATGTAGTTTTCAATTTCTAAATATACTTACAGCATGCAACATGGGACTTCTTACTGCAGCAAAGGACCAGTCTGCAGGTTTATCATTCGTATGATGACTTTTATTGAATCCAAAACGTATCACTTCAGGCTCGAGACGTCTTGCGGTAAATTTAACTAAATCATGGCTTATACGCAAACCCCATTCTGCTAATAATTCTCGAGTTATATCATTCTTATTAATTTCATCTACAAATCGGCTGATCACCTCTTGACGTTGATTAGGCGACATTTTCGTAACTCCGCTCAAGTCTTTCATAATGTTATGATTATTGCGAATATTATCAGTAAGACCTGCTGCGTAGCTCAATTCTGGCACCAGATAAATTATGCTTTCCTCTCTCTATTGTATTCAAACGATTTTTTATAACGAATTGTAAGTGATCATCAATATCATGTCAATAATAATTGTGCACGAATATCGTATAATATGTATGAAATTACAAACCTCGCCGTTTGGTAATCTATTTGTAACACGATGCACTAAAAGGGGTTGATGTAAATCCATAATCTCGATATTCCAATGCGACTTGTAATATTCGAATAACGATATTTGTTGGCCATTTTTAGAGAACGTATAATTTGGTGATTTATTCCAATCGATGTCATCTATACGATACGTCTTGTTATTGTATCTCGTTAGTACACTTGTACCGATTACTTCGTTCATAGCAATGTCTTTGAAATTATGCTTTGATTTTTGGCAAATCTCTGTTCTGAAAAGTGATTACATAAAATAAATTTAATTAACTGTAAATTATTCAATCGTGATAATGAATATTAAAACATTAATATTTAAAAAAATCTCACATTAAATCTCGCACAGTTTCTGTTCGCATCACTCGATGTTTGGCATCTAAACACAACTTTAAACCACCCTCGTATTCATTTATAGCAGTTACGTAACCAGGCCATACTTCCAATCGATGTTGAGGCAAAGCATGCGCGGAATTCGGATTAAAATTTTGTCGACCAATACGAACCAAGCTAAGCGCACGCATTATGCGATTGAATAAAATATTGAAAAATTGAACATTTTCATGTATTGGTTGTTTCCTTTTGAAAATAATTGTGAGAGATACTTTTGACCCATCTGGATGATCAGATTGAAAGTGAGTCTCCTAAAAATTTAACATGTTATATCACGTATATTATATTGTATTATAATATATATATATATTTCTCTATTAGAGTTTTTGAACTCACATTTTGAGGCAATTTTAGTGGTAAATAAAGTAATGTCCCATCAAATGTTCTTGTTCGTCCTAATGTGGCAAAATGTTGATTAACTAGTTTACGACGTAAACCTATTGAATCTATATCTGGCGAAAATTTAATTTCGTATAAATATTGAGCCTTTGCAGGATCTACTTTCACATCCACACAGTTAGCGTATGCTTCTACTCTATAAAGAAAAACAAATCTTAATTGTTGCTGTTATTAAATTACAATGATATATTCATCACAATTCCCATTACTAATATAAATGATAGTGACATCATTTCATTTTTGCATTATTACAATAAAAATAATGTACATATTTTTTAAACTTGTCTATATTGTATAATTTGTAAAAATGAATTATTGAAATACGAATTAAATCGCATCAAATAATGGATCAATTCTAAGTAGAATCGTAAGTCTCGTGACTTGTTCTCATAAAACTTGTCAAAACTTATGACTAATATTCTAATTTGATGCGTACGAATCAAAAGACGTAAAATTATTAATAAATAAATTTCTTATAAATCTTATTAATTTCTTGTAAATCTTATGATTAGTAAAAAAAGCTGTCTGTAATTATATTGTATAAAGGTATAAGCACTTAAAAGTTCTTATAACTTTTACGAGTCTTACTATTCTGAATTTAGATATAAGATTCGATTCAGATTTGAATCTTTACGATTAGAATTCTGATTATTTAAAATTTTCAAATCTAATTGTAAGAGAATTTGAATGAATCACATATATTGACACATACACATACATGCACACACACAAAATTTCCCGCTATGTATATCATATAATCAATATTATTTCTCTTACACAGAACTCTTATCATACATTAAAATTTAACCTAATATATTGTTGACTAAATGTTAACGATTTGATTAGATTTAATTCGATTCGATGTAAAGAAAAAACCTTGATTCATACGTCTCTAATAATTTAACGATTGATCCATATGTACCGAAAATATTATCTAGCACACACATATCTCCAACTTGAAAATTTCTTACATCGTGAATAGCATATAATAAAATAATTATCGCACATGGAACCACATGGTAAAATGTATAAAAACTTTAAAATTATAATTTTTTAAATCAATCTTAAGCCTACGGCACACGGTGCTTGTTTTCCTGCTGGATTGCTAGCTGGATTAGAATCTTGCCACCGTATTGGCTGCGGTGCTGAAAGTGCCAATATCGCGGCCAATCCGATGGCAAGAATCTGATCTAGCTAGCAATCAGCAGGAAAACAAGCACCGTGTGCCGCTGGCTTTATTGAACAATTTTCTTCATAAAATGTTTTATTTTCTTTTGTTGATAAATAAAACAAACAAAAAAGCCATTTTTGGAAGTTGATTTTTACTTATTTAAAGAGTAAAATAAATGTGGACAGCAAAAATAGCTCATATCTATATATTATATATTGCTAGTTTTATAATTTGCTCTAAATTTTTAAGTTAGGACTTCTGTCTTATATAATGTCGATAATGATCGTGCACTTTTAAAATTGTAAATTGTTGATTACTTACTTTGTTCCACTTTTTCCTTGTCGACATACCGGTGTAACATCATCCAAGGATTGTAGCTCTTCAGGTGTGGGCGGTTTATCATACACGGAGATGTTAGATAATTTTCCTAAAACTCCTTCAGAATCATCTCTTCTAACACTTTCTGGTACAGAAGTACTTGGTTGGCTGAATTGTAAAAATATATTTGCTGTAAGTGTGCATTTATAAGTGATATTTAGAGATAAAGCAAAAAAAAATTGCCACACACCTAAGTTTTTTTATTAAACTTGAAATATTGCCTCGACCGTGACCTATTGCTACTGAAGAGTCTCTGGATTCTTCACCACTGCTGCTACTCTGCATTGATTTTAACAAACCAGATAGCGCACGTCCACGACCTCCACTAGAACTTGAAGTAAGAGATGAAGAATACCCTTCAGATGATCCTGATGGTTCAATTGATGAAACACTAGGTGTTTCTATAGAATGAGACATTGCTTGAGATCGTTCCATTTGTTGTCTCTGCTTCATCATCTCTAATAGAAAAGAACCGCGTCCTTTTCCGGTAGGTCCGGTAGGTTTCTTAGGATCCATTTTGTATTCTGTAATTTTTAAAATAGATATATTTTAAATTAAATAAAAAAAGATTGAATATGACCCTATATACTTCTAAATTATATGTTTTAATTTTCAAAATATTTATATTCATGTACAATACGTTTTTTTTTATAATTTTAATATTTCGCAATATTTCTTTATTATAACTGAAATCTAAGTATTTATTTATTAGTCCATAAGACGAGTCAAATAATAGAGGAACAAGATATAGACAGTGTTGATTTTTCACATTTACATGCTGTGAGCTTCATTCTATATGTTTTTTCTGTATCGAGTAATAAAATAAGAATAAAAAGGATAAAATTTAGAATGTGTGAACGTGAAAAATGAACGCAGCTATACCAAAAATTACGCCCAATATTTCAATATTCTATATTTTTAATTTTGAACACAAAATAATCTTTGTACGTTGTATATATTGGTAATATTTTACATACTAGGCAAAAAATTAATATGATCAATTCTCGGCAAATGATAGGAAATTTCTACCTATGTAACTTACAGTAAATTCGATTAGACGTACTAATGTGTATTATACTACAGCTATATACATATATTGTATACTGATGTAATTTAAACGTAGAAAATAAAATGGAAATTCGAATTATAAAATACATTAAAATCCATATTTTAACAACACATATATATATATATATATAAAATAATAATTAACAATATTAAAATAGAGACTGTATTATTTCTGCCCTTATCGGGTCATCATCAGTGTATATAAAATTTAAACGTAGGTACAGTTGATCTTGATTCAATGTATGAATATATGATGAAATAATTTCACATGGAAGAAAAACCTGTAAAGGTATAAATCTATATTTCAATTTAATGTTTAACTTTTGTAGCTTTATTAATTTTTCTTTTTTCTTCCACTCTATTTTCAAAAATGAAAATAAGAAAAAATAATTATTTTAAATATGAAATTATAATAATTAATAAATAATAAAGGATTTTTCGTGATCTAATAAGTTTAATAAATTGAAAGTAAAAAATATGTCGCTTTCTTTTCATTACATCAGCAAAAAATGGCTGCATTCAGCGGGATGTTTAATTTGCAACTATTAAAAATTTTTTTCAATGAAATAGGACCATTTCTTTGGAATTAAAAGTATAATCTAACATCAGATTCGCGTAAAGGAGGCACGGCAGTGTCGCTGCGCCTGGCTTAGCGCCGAGACACTACCGTGTCTCCAGATCAAATGAAGCACTTACTCAGCGCTGACACTGCTAAATATGACTAATGTCACAATGCCTCATATGCACATTGACTGATTGCAGAAACAAAAGAAACTTTCAGTCTTAATGATTTTCTTCTTTTAAAATAATAAAAAGACGATAGCAGTATAAGACTTATAGGTCTGTTTTTTGTTCCTACATTGTCTGAACAAAAAACTAGTGCACACGGTGCAATAAGTTAAAATGAAATAAATGTATATTTGTTTCACTTCAACTTATTGTACCGTGTGTACTATTTCAGACAGTGCAGGAACAAAAAACAGACCCTATATATGTATCACTATATTGTCGTTCGATGTAAAACAAGAACAGAATACAATTTTCACTTTAATCAATCAGAAAATATCAAGATAAGCAAACATTATCATGAGCGACATTATAAGTTAGCGGAACAAAGTGATCAATTTTAACTCACATTTTTATTTGTTACTCACTTGTTGCTAACAAGTTGCATATGTATGCACATTTCGAATTTTTATTTGCATATTTTCAGAAAGTTATTTAAAAAAAATAGTTAAAAAAACAGAGGCTAATTTCACACTAGTCTTTCCCAACCACGAAGAAAATTAGATTTAACTAGGCCTGATCGATAGATTATTTTCGTTAGCGCATTCCAATACTAGTCAATTTTTCATTTGCATATTCCTCTTAAAGTTATTTACAACTAAAGTTTCGAAGATAGTCAGTCGACTAACAATTAGAGAGATAGGTTGATTATTTATTACTTAAACATATTGAGTTTTTAACTAAGGGTGTGTAAATGCAAAGTCGACTTGTTTCGGAATATGCAAACGAAAATCTATCGATTTATGTCATTTTGCGTATCTGCGATTTAAATCTATTATATTTTTACAACTTTTTTGTTACAAACTTTTGATTAGTTACCGAAATCCGCCATATGTAATAGTTAACCGTGATTTCAAGTTGCAGAAATTAACCCTCCCGGCTCTCTGTTTTTAATATTATATAATCAATTGACGTAAGAAGTTACAATGTTAGATACTTCACGTGTTCTAACTCTTCTATATCTTTACAGTAGTAGTCAACCTACATGTAACAAAATCAGTGTTATCAACGTAAATTTAGCTGATGGCAGCAGTTTGTCCTACTCTTATTATAGGAGCACTATATGACACAGGCTTAACTGTTTAGTTTGGATGTATTTGATCTAAAATAACTTTTATTTTTATTTAATACATTTTTGTGATGCCAATTCTTATTCGACATCTGGGTGAATTTATGAGTTTCCAAACGAATACTTCGTTAATACAAAAAAGGATGCAATCCTTTTCAGACATTTCTTTTATCCTTTTCTCTCCAATGGAAAAAAAAAGATATACCGTGCCTTAGAAGTTCAAGCCTAGGAAAAAGAGCAGGCCTTTTATGTAGGAAAAAAAAAGTTAAGTAATCAACTCTTTAAGAATGTAAGGTGACCAACTTCAAGAAGACATTTTAAAAGACTCAATATTAATTATAATTAAATAATAATTATATAAGGCTCCATAAATATAAAACAATTAAAATAATAAAGAGCAAAGAGCCAGTAATATAACAAAACTAAAACTTTAATATTAAAACATGTACAAATAAACAAACGTTTCGACTTCGATTGAGTCGTTCTCAATGTTACAGATACAAATAAATTCGTTATATAAAATTCGTTATCCTTCAAAAATTACTTCATTCTTATTACTTTGTGTCAAAAAGATGAAGTTCAAAAGTCAGAGTATATAAAATTTGGTGTTCTTGTTATTTATAACTATAGGTAATCCATTAAAAAACGTATAAAATGGTAATCAGTCGAAATTTACGTGTACAGAATCCATTATTACATTATTAAACAAATTTGCAGATATGTGAGATGAAATGTGCAATCTCAACTACATCAGATAATGCAATGTTGCTTTTTAATGGATTATCTATAATGTTGTTTTTTATAACATTGAGAATGACCCGATCGGAGTCGAAAAGTCTGTTAATTTGTAGCTACATGTTTCAATATTAAAGTTTTGTTATATTACTGGCTCTTTGCCCTTTATTATTTTAATTTAATTATAATTGAATTTTGATAAACATTTTTAACAATTGTTAACGAAACAAATAAGCAATATCAATTATTAAAGAATTGAACGAACTTACTGTGAAGTTTGATTGTAATTATGCTGTCTCGTCCGGATGGATATGTGATAAATGTAGCAGCGGAACGCTACTGCATTTATATCCATCCGGACGAGACGTGGCATAATTATATTTATAAATAACTAGTAATGTTTTTAAATAGTAACTCAACAACATCGTTGTCTGAACGTTACGAAATTATTGGATATAACTTCATAATGTTGCTGTTTTGCAATATATTAAGTAAGCCTTTGATCTCTACACCATCGAAGTAATGTAACTCGTGAATTTTCATCATTCAATTGTGAAGAATAAGATTACTATCACAATTTATCGGCTCTTTGCCCTTTTTTATTTGATTTGTTTTATACTTATAGAGCCTTCTATCAACTATTATTGTTATCACAATGTTAATTATCAGCAACATCACAAATATCTCATATAATGCAGCTATAAAGGGTGTGATAATTAACTTCACTATTTTCGCTATGTATGTTTATATTATTTGAATTTATACGTTTAAACATTGAGGATGACCCGAGCGAGATTAAAACGTCTGTTTAGCAATTTGTGTAATTATTATTATTTATAATTGTGTTTATGATTTGTATGTTTATTTTCTGTTGTTGTTTTAAATATATATATTATATATTTTTGGCTCGTAGCCTTTATATTAATTTTGGGGAATTTCAAGCAACGTAACAGACTTAATAAAGTTTGGAACACAGTCTTGGTAACAAAATAATGGTAAATTTACGAAATCAGTAAATGTTTAGTCGTAAAGACAGGCTCGACAAATTTCAGAAATTTTCCAAAAATTAAGTACTACAACGAAAGCGTCTACCACAATCGAGTCTTTACAAAAATTTCCGAAAGCAAGACGTTTGGTCTTGATATTTTATGATCAGACACGTTTCTACCAATGTAGATTAACTTCAATTTCGTTTCAACGGAAATGGGCAAATTTTCGTTCATACAAAAAAAGCCCGAAGGACACGAAGACAAGAAAACAATTTTAAAGAAAAATCGAGTATTACTGAGTTTTATGTGCATCTCGTTACTTGTAACGAAGTTACAGTTACAAGTTACTTTTTTGGTAACTTTACTGGTAACTGCGTTAATTTCTTTTTTTTGGTAACTGTAACGGTAACGTAGTTACATTTTTGGATAACGGTAACGAAATTTACAGTTACTTTTATCGTTACTTTGCATACGATGAGACACGTTATTCTGTTATATAACAATTACATGTTATTAATTACGACAGCTATAAATGTGGTTGTAGGACATTGTAGTAGGGGAGGCCAAGCGGGGATTTTGGGATTTACTCGAGCGCGTCAGAATAACATAAAGGGGGAAAGCTTGCACCCTAATAAGTACCCCCACCAAATATTAAACCTCTATATAGAGCCGGGGATCCAGGGGATTAGTAAATAAAAGAAATCGATCGTTCGAAAACTCGAGCGCGTCAGATTAAGGTATGGTGTGTTAATTACATGTAGAAAAGTGTACATTTCAAAAATTTGACGCGCTCGAGGAAATTCCCCCCCCCCTTTTTTTGACCCCTTCCTACAGCTAACCCCACCACGTAAACCGTCAGATTAATATTTATTCGTTATCAGAAACACATTGATCGCTTACACTGATTAATATCTGACACGCTCGAGTATTTCATTGTCATTGTTTTTTTGAAAGCCTGTACACGCTCCCCCCACCACTGAAACGGCATACATCATATAACCTTTTTTTCTTTTTAGCATCTAATCTTCACAATCCAATAGGTCTCCACGATGCTCGAGTAAATCCACATTTAGCCTCTCGGCCTCCCCTACTATTGAGTGTTTTTTTATTTGATACAGGCGTACAAGCTACATTTAATTTAATTTAATCTAAACATGGTACACACTTTGTTCTAATTGAGTTGTATAAAAAGCTTTACTCTGTACATTTCTGCGTACATTTATGTTGAGCAATTGCAAAACTTCTGTTATATATTCTAATTATAGCGTTATAATTTTCTTTCTATCAAAATATTTGATTTATAGCTAAGAGCATAGACTATGTAAAAATATAGCTGTATTATAATAAAGAGATTATGTGTATTTCTTAATTTTCCTTTTAATTTCTAACTTATATTGTGATTCATATAGTCCTATACAATTCTATCTTTTCAGATTGATTTTTAAAAAGTAACGAAAAGTTACCTTTTGAATAACGGTAACTGTAACTTGTTACTTTTAAAAAGTAAAACGGAACGAAACGGCAAAAATAACGTTATATTCTTCGCAATATATTAGAATAAAATTAAATATTTTAACGAATTTGTTTACTCGTAAACCCTTTCTCTCTTTATTATTAGGTTAAAAAGTAACTTTCCATTCCCTGAAATATATATATATATAGGAAGTACAAATTAGTTCGATCCGTTTTTCAAAAGATGATCGCCTTCAAAGACGAGTCATTTTTTCGAGATGGAATTCGAAAATTGCCTGAGAGATGGGAAAAAGTAGTAGCCAGCGATGGACAATACTTTAATTAATCTATTCATTCATTTTGTTTTGAATTAAATGCATTTTTGAACACAAAAAACGGACCGAACTAATTTGTATACACACGTCTACAAAATTAATAAATGATAAAATGAATACCATATTTTCAGTTTCTTATTCTTATTAATCATTTAAATAATAGGGACGCAAAATCCCGTAAGAATATCGATATTTAATAGTATCTTGTCGGTGTCACGGTTAAGTCTTAATTCATTCTTGAAAATAAAAAGAAATGAGAAATAAGTTGAACCTCGATTAAGAATTAATCGTGAGTGTAGTACCGCGTGCCTTACTTTTCATCTTTTTTTAATTCATAGATCCATAAAAAGATTATGTCGAGTCGAAATAAACTACGTTAGTAGAACCGAGCATTACTGATAAAAGTAAAACGCGCCGACGAACTTTTTTAAATTGAAGCGGCAATACAAATACAGACGTGATAAAACATAACCAATGAACTATTTCTGTGTAAATAGTAACATGAGAAAAATATCAAGGCTGGGACGCTACCGAGATGCAAAGATTCTTTTTCCCTTCCTACGCAGCGATTCTGCGACTAAAACCGCACTTACATCGGTATTTTCGAATGTTACAATTGTAATTTCGATTTAATTTCCTCTTTAACTAACCTCTTTTAATTTATAACCAGAAAAAGAGACAAATAAATCAAACCAAGATTAAAATTTAACCTATAACGATAGAAATGACGAACGATGTATGTAGCCGTAGTGATATATTTTCAAGTTGAAAGATTTAAACGAACGAGATTGATATAAACTGTTTTATACGAAAAGGTGACGAACGAACAAAATCGAACGTGCAACGGCTCGTCACCACTCGCTTTGCGCGGCCAAAAAGACGTTGGAAAGTTAAGCACGCGGAACCAATGGATAAGAAAAACTAAAACTATTCGAGATAAAAAGGTTTTTGTCTCAGATATGGTGGATTCAGGGATCGTTCACGTGCAAGCTAGTGATAAATATCGATGCGGTACACGCCAATGCTGAACGATTGCTACTTACATTTTCGGCTGGAAAAACTACCGTTTAATACTGCGATCATCAACTTCAAGCATCTGTGTACACGATTTTCTCTTCGCAAGGATTCTGCGTCATCCGATCTTCCAGCAACTTCTCTTAAGAACGCAATTTACTGAAAATCCGATCGACGCCGATCGATACTGGCCGAGGCAACTACGGCACAAACTATGCGAATCGCGAGCCTGCGAGGTAAAAAAGGATTCCTCTCTGACGCTAGCTGAGCAGGATGCGTCATGCGCAAGAGATCACCAATCGCTTTTCGTTACGTAAGATGTCATTTGCAACGCGATTGGTTAATAACGGGTTACCGGGGAAAAACGTCTCTAGGATACGCTATATATGGTAATCACACAATTAGGTCGAGTGTTTTCTCGAACTTTTTGGCGCCAATCCTTCGACACGCGATCCTTGCGTTGAGAAAGCGATCGTTATTTGTTTAATGAACGATGAAAAATGTGGGATACAGCGAACGAGCGTGGTAGAAAAACTCGGATGTAATTATTAAGTTGTGCTCAAATCTTTAGACGCGAACCCATGGTATTTCTACCATGCGCGAACCTTAATTACTTACCCACTATCAGCCTGCTCGACTACCAAGTCAATCAACAAGAGTTGCTTTCCATTTACACACAAGTGAAACTGAGTCTGAAGTGAGCTGAGTATGAAATACTCAGATTAATGACGTCACTTACTTGCTTACTTTGGTCAACTTTGGTAAAATTAACAAGTAACAACGCAGGTTTATAACCTCACTTTTAAAGTGAGTCTACGAGACTCAATAAAGCACACGGTCTCGATCTTGTGCGCAGTTTGTAGGTAAAAACTCACTTCTCAGAGTGCAAAAGGAACGCGCATTCAACTGAATTATGACGTCACAAGTGAGAATTATCTGAGAATCGAAGTAAATGGAGAGCAACTATCAAATTTTCTAGCCGGATTGATCCCTAACTTCTTTACCTACTCCTAACCTCAAATAAGAAAGACCTATGCCGAGGGTTAATCTCGAAGAGTGAATATAACGTCACCAAAAATTGTTAATTAAATTCGTGACACTACTGCGGTAATAAGTATGTATGCATCAATGCTGAAGACTTCAGCGTCGCGATTTATATGGGGGGACTATATACGCAATATATAAAATACACATAATAAGCATTGTGATCCAGCTTTGACCGTTATTGGCTTTTTTCTTGTTTATTGTTTATCAATTGTACGGTTCTAAAAAGATTTTAATATTTGTTAAATAGCGTCACCTTGTTTTCGCTTTTCGTTTGGCGAAGATGCAACTGTTGATTTACTATTGTATGTTTCATACTACTTCATTAATATACACGTATTTTAAATATTTTATTCAAATTATGCAGATATTTGTGACTTTTTAGGTGTGCCCTAGATGAGGAACTTTACAATTCCTAAATTCTCGGCATTTTACTAAAAAGAAGTACCTTAAAATTACAAATAATGCTATACATATATCCTATATATATGATACTGTTTGACTTGTATACTCTAGCTGAAAAGCTCCTTTATCTATAAGAGTTGCTCAAAAAGTTATATTTTTTGTAACAGATATTAAATTTTTTTATCAAAACGTATATAATAAGTATCTATTTGATCTGAAACCAATACAAGCCTGAAAAGTGCATAATATGTAATGATACGATTGTGAATTTTGAATTGTTATTTGTTTATAAATAAGCTAATTATTTTATACTCGATTGATTTTATTCATTAATATTATTTGTTAATTGTCAGTACATTTTTTATTGTTATCAGTTAAATGTTTTTTGTTTTTTCTCACAAATAGTTATAACACAATTTTTATTCTTTATTCAAAAAACATAAGAAAAAATATTTTTAATTGCACTCTTTATCTTGTTTTTCTTTTCGCACGTTCTAAGTAAAACAATTTGTTATATCTAATACTAGAGAAATAGAGAACATGATATTAAATTACAATGTATTGTGATTTTATTAAAGTATTGAAATGTTATCCTAATGGTATTTTCACTTTTCATTTGCCATCTTTCGAAATACAAAAATTTTATATATAAAGAAAAAAATTAACAGATGTGTTATACGTACATTTTTGATACAATTGAAGATCTGGCTAAGAACCAGCCAAGTTTAGGTTTTCAAATATTACAAGGAAATCTATATATATGTACAACATATGCATCATATATTTACAAAATCTTATTCTTAACAGTTTTGCTACTATTTTTAACATGAAAATAATGCCTTCCACAAGTATAATTGCAATATACAATTTCTGTTGCTTTGTTATTTATCATTGGAAAAGTCACTAAATGCCACTAAAGAGAACGAGTTTGGTTGATTCTTCCAGCCACACCTACAGTTGTTAATAAAATGTCATATATTGTGTGATATACATTCCATATTAAAAATTTATATGGTATTTATAATTCATTATTTACAAGAGTCGTTATGTATAATTAATTAAAATATAATTATTACAATAAACTATAAAGTAATCAAACAACAATGAACTTGCCATAAAAAATTAACATCTGATCGATATCGAGCTATATGCACATTCTGACAAGTTAAATGGATGGCAAGAGGTCCCTTGGACTTGAGCTGACTGTTTTTTGCGTATGACCGCGTTTCTGAGCACAAGTATAGCATGTATGAGTTCACCTCTTCGAGGTAATAATGGCACTTGGCACTTGCATATGAATCCTATTATAATGTATAACACTGGAGAAGATTCTCCTAAAACCTGCCAGACGCGACATAAATAAAATTCGCAATTCTTTCTTTTTAAATTTTTGCTAATTTTGAAATTTATAAAAATTGTTAATTTTATCACAATGCAATTTTTCTCATTCAAATCTCGATTATACTTATTATACGAAATATGACGAAAAATGTAAAAATATGATAAAATGCGACTGTAATCTGTATATTACGTGACATGAGAAAAGTATAAATAAATGCAGGTGTCGCCAATTATCTCATATAATTGAGAGAGCGTCATGTCTCATTACAATTTCCTGCTAGGTTAAAAACGCGAATATTAGAAGTCCTTTATATTTTTTGCGTTAAAAATCGTTATCCCAGCCGGAAATATCGTCAGGTGGCGGTGGATCTGAATCAGCTGGATAAGCGTCGAAATTCGTAGTGTCTGTAGCGCCTTGAACTCGTGGTAATATCGGGGGCTCCAAAGTTCTCGTTTTTAAACCTTCCCAATTAAAGCCATCGAACCATCTATAATGAATTTATAAGAATATATTGCTTTGATCTTCGATAGTTTTAAATACTAAAATAAGAAAAAAATATGTATATATACTTGTGCTTCTGTATTTCACTGATGCCACCTCTTTGATATCCAAGACGTTCTGCTGGATTATCCCTGAAAAAGAACAGTTTGTATTGTTAATATTACAGCCAACAAATATATTGTTATGCTATAAATATCTATCACGAAAAAAAGGAAAACTCTAATATGTAAAAGTATATCACAATTTACCTGCAAAGCTTTTTGATGAGTGCCATCGCGTTACGTGTAATGGATCTGGGAAATTCTATAGCATCGATTCCTTTTAAGATAATATTATACGTCTTCATCGGATCAGCACCCGTAAAAGGAGGCGTACCCGTAAGCAACTCAAACATGAGAACACCAAGAGACCAGTAATCGGCGCTTATGTCGTGACCTTTATTTAGAATGACTTCCGGTGCCACATACTCTGGTGTGCCACAAAAAGTCCACGTTTTCCTTCCGTTATCTAACCGTTTGGCAAAGCCAAAATCCACAAGTTTAACATATCTAAAAAATAATACGACAAAATATTCTAAATCCACCAAAATTTATTAACAAATCAATTAAAGATGACTCTCGAAAGTTTCAAATAACAAGAATAATACCGGCAAATGAGAGTCCCTTCAGCTGTTGTTAGTGCGATCATATAAGATATGTTAAAATGTGAATATTATATACTACGTAAGTAGTTCCCCCCATTATTGCGCGTCGAACTTTTTGTCGAACTTTAAACGCAAATCTAATCAACTACCGTAGTAATATCACAATTTTTGATGCTTATAGCATCTAAAATTGGATCTTAATAATATGTTGAAAGACATATTAAATTATTAAATTATAATATTTAAAGTATAAATGAATTTAAATCTATGAAAAATAAGAATTGTGAAGAATATCACGAGTTGGCGTTTCGTCCCGGCTTCCACTACTAGACTCATCAGTAAGGTAATGTAGTGGGAGCCTACCTTAGACGCCTTGGGGAGATGTTAGAAAGAAGTTCTATATAAACAATCACTCACATAATTCGGCACTTGCGAGAATTGGAATGAGTAACTATAGACCTCTGTTGGCTAGTCGACGTAGTGATATTC